CAGGGCGAGAGCGGCGCCGACGAGGAGCAGCTGGACACGGCCGAAATCGCCTTCCAGGTGAAGGAGCAGCTGCTGAAGCACAACATCGGGCAGCGCGTCTTCGGGCACTACGTGCTGGGGCTGTCGCAGGGCTCCGTCAGCGAGATCCTGGCGCGGCCCAAGCCCTGGCGCAAGCTGACGGTGAAGGGCAAGGAGCCGTTCATCAAGATGAAGCAGTTCCTGGCCGACGAGCAGAACGTGCTGGCCCTGAGGACCATCCAGGTGCGCCAGAGAGGTGAGTGGCCCTGAGGAAACTGGGGCATGAGCCGCTTGCTCAGACCTCTCTCTGTTCCCTTGCCCCAAAACTACCTCCTTTCCACACCTGGAGCTCCTGTGCAGCTCTTTGGCACAGGGGCTGTTCCCCCTCTGGAAAGCTTTGCACATCCAAGCAAAGTACCAGGACCCCGTGCCAGTGTTAGCCCTTCATCCAGAGGGCATGGAGCCGGGAGCCCTGTGATCCAGGTGGTCTCTCCCCAGCTGGAGACGCGGAGGCGAAAGGCGCCAGCGGAGCTACCTGGGCTCCCGTCACTCTGGCTGGTGACTAATCGGGAGTGACATTTTTCTTAAAACCAACATTCCTAAAAATAACTGAACACGAGCAGCAGTAAATGCTTCCTGACATACGAGCGGAGCTTGTAATACCAGCGCCGGTGACAGCTCTGTTATGGGACCTCTTTGATCAGGTAGCATCACGCCGCGGATCAGGACGCCAGAAACCGGCTCTGACGACGCCATCAAGAACATCCTGGAGCAGGCGAAGAAGGAGATCGAGTCGCAGAAGGGAGGTAGGGGCAACCGCGCTGCGGTGGGAGGCCCTGGAGGCTCCATCACCCCGTTTGCACCATTGGCTCTGCTCTGGGGACCTAGGAACACCTGTACACAACGTTTGGGGATCATAGTGGCAAGAAATGTGAAATTCTGAGTGCTGTAATTGCTATGAGGCCTCCCTGACTTCATGTGGCTGCTTCTGAAGGGGCCCCTTTGCCATCGGGTCTTGCAGAAACTTCGTCCCTCGCTCCTCCCTTCCCCCCTCCCGAATCAGATGATTAAACGGGAACGCGTGATCCATATGGCACGAGGAATCATTAAACCAGCTGTGCGCACAGTCAATTACAAGGAATGAAATACATTAAAACAGGTAGTGTGCTGAGAAAGCAGAATCCCTGAGAATTAAATTAGAGAGGAATGGTGCAAAAACAGTCAGGGAAAACAAACGTGTTTGTGTATTGCCGTCGTTGGTAATAGGATTTGCCTTGCAAGCGTTAGAACAGCTTTCCGGTGCCGTATGCGGCGTTCGGAGCGTTGGCTTTGTCGCGGCTGCGGGCCGCCGCGC